GACACTGAGATTAGCTCAGCTCTGGGATGGCTCAGCTACTGGGACTTGACTCAGCACCCAAAAGTGCAGCCTAAGTGGGTCCTGAACCACAGATAAATACATCTTATTCTGTATAAAGTGGGGTGCAGGGTAAGCTCATGTTCTCCTCTCTCTCCCAAGTAACAGTAATTTACAAACAAAAGTGATTTTATTAAGATAAATGGTAGGATTTAAGTGGTCATAAGAGAAAGCAGACAGAACAAAGCAAATTACTAAAATAAGCAGAAGAACCTCCAAGCAAGCTAAGCTTAATACATTAAAGAGAATAGTTACATGTAATACCTTTATGCATGGGTTCCATTGTTTGAGAACAAATAACTGTTCGTAACTTATTTTGGGGTGCTGAGTTAAAAAATTATATCCATTTTTGCCCATGACGTACAGATTTTTCTGAAAACTGGAATCTACTTTTTTTTAAAAAAAATGCTATTATAATGTGTTACACATTATATGCTGTGACTTATTTTCAAGGACTTGCATGCAAAAATACCTCAAATTGATTGAATTCATCAAAATGAATGCCATCTAGCTTAATTTAATTTACACCGATGCTGATAATGTTGGAGGAGATACTGATTATTGACCAGAACATGCCAGTAATGAGCCATTACTGTTCACCCAAAGTGAATTCAATGACTTGGTGAGAGACCTGGATCTGCCTAAAGATTCTGCTGAGATTTTGGGATCCAGACTTCAAGCAAAGAATTTGCTTTCCTCTGGGACAAGTTTTTCTTGGTACAGGAACCACGAGAAAGAGTTTGTTCCATATTTTTCTATGGGTGGTCTGTTGGTATACTGCCGGATTAATAGAAAGTTTGGGAACAGTTTACCAACCAGGTGACTGGAGACTGTTTATTGACTCTTCAAAGACAAGCCTAAAAGGTATTCTACTCTATAATGGCAATCGATATGCCTCTGGGCCTATTGCCCATTCTGTTCACTTAAGAGAAACCTATGAAAATCTTGAGCTTCTCCTTAAAAAGGTGCGTAATCCAGAGCATGAATGGACTGAATGTGGAGATCTGAAGGTGCTGTGTATGCTGCTTGGTCAACAGGCTAGTTACACAAAAATGCCATGCTTTTTATATGAATGGGATAGCAGAACAAGAGATCTTCATTGGGTAAGGAAACAGTAGCCACCAAGGGAAAGTCTGACTCCCGGCTCCAAGAATATAATTCATGAAAAACTGACTGAGCCCAACAAGGTACTACTACCTCCACTCCACATCAAGCTAGGTTTGATGAAACAATTTTGTGAAAGCATTAAATAAGAATGGTGACTGTTACATTTGCAACAAGTTCCCAGCTTTGAGTTACCAAAAAGTTAAGAAGCGTGATCTTTGTGGGTCCTTAGATCAGGAAATTGATCCTTGACACTAACTCTGAAGAAACCATGAATGACACAGAGAAAGAGCTTGGTTGGCCTTCAGAAATGTCATACAAAACTTCTTAGGAAATAACAAAGATCCTGATTATAAAAACATTGTTGGCAATATACTAAACAAATTTGAGAGACTTGGATGCAACATGAGCATGAAAGTTCATTTTTTTTGCATTCCCATCTGGTTTATTTTCCTGAAAATCTTGGAAGTGTCAGTGAAGAGCAAGGGGAAAGATTTCATCAGGATATCAAGACAACGGAAAAGAGATATCAAGGACGCTGAGATGTCAACATTATGGCTGATTACTGCTGGTCCCTGAAAAGAGAGACTGATGGTGAAATGCATAAAAGGTTGTCAAAAAAGTGTTTATTCAGTTGCATCTAATCATTTAAAACTACTCAGTTGTTAAAATTCACACTTTGCTCCTTTGTTCTTTAAACAAGGACTTACAACAGACCTTCTAAAAGAACTAGAACTTACTATTTACCAAGTTTTTAATGTATAAGGTGGAATAAAAAGCATGAAAAATTTCCATTTATTTTCTTTCTGATTTGTGAAAAATCCTTACGTGATAGAGCAAAATAGATACCATTTTTAAAATCAGCATAGCAAAATTATGTAAAGTCGCCAATTTGTATCAAAACAACTGAAACTTTGTTTCAATTTGCAGACCAATGTAATATCTCACCTCCAAAGTTGTTCTAACTGGCTTCTTTCACAGACTGGAAAGCATTTCTATTTGGGCCCAAACTTTCCCTCATGTTGGTCTAAGACATTTCCAGTAGTCATGTTGGGTGGGGTAGTCAGGGAGAATTGATGACCTGGATTACCTCACTCCTCATCCTTAAATAGGATTTACATAATGTGGAAGTCCATTGTTTTAGTTGGACTCCCTCCCAGCTACTAATGGAAAAGTACATGGTTTAACATGGATTCCAGTATCGGGTGACATGGTCACATGTCTCTGCCAGACCCTTGCCTCCATACTTCATAGGCTGACTCACACATCTGCAGGAAGGCTAAGCTTCATTGTCACTTTGCTAATGGGCCATTAAAGCACTGAATCATCATTAGCACTTAACCTGACTACATTAATAACACACCATATTCCTAACTTGATCTACAAAGATGACAGATGCATACACATGGGAAAATCATATTCAGTAGAGTATAACTTTTTCAATGAAACCTCACATGAAGTATTTTGCATAAAAAATATTCTAGTTATTTCATTCATTTCAGAAGCATATTTTCACAAAGCATATGGAATACCCCATCGTACATCCCTCCATTGATGGGAAACTGCCAGGCAGAAAGGCCAAACTTGAGTGTTGCTGTGACTTTGTGTGCTAGGTTACAGTACCATTTGGTTTGGGGCAAATGGCCCTTCAACTGAAATGGGGGTTTGGAGGTTCAAAGTGGGACAAGCCCTGAAACCTGGGGCTGCTTGAAAGTAAAGATTTGAAAGTACTTGATTTAACAATGCTAGCAAGGCAGAAACCTAATTTAGCTAGACCCCCTAAGGTAGATGGATGAGACAGTCAAAGGAGTGAATACAAATACAGTGACAACATAATCTTGTGCTAAAGGTAGCTTTTCAGTTCAATATATACAGCATATATATCAGCTTAACCGTGTAATCTACCATATCCTGCCTCACCCTTTTTTCCCCTCTAAACAGAGGTGTAGATCCTTATTTACAAAACTGTTTTAACATTGGGATTAATGTTTTACAGACTGCACAGTTCATTAGCTGGCAGTTTTAAAAAACAATACAAAATGTAGTAAGCGACTAAAGCAAAACAAACAATAATGGCCTAGACCACTGTGCTATGGATTATTTCTGTCAGGTGCCCTAACACACTCCAAACTTTGTTCAACATTCTCCAGATTCAGCTGTCTTACTGACCTAGGGATGTTAAGTATCAGTTAATTAACTAATCAAGTAATCAATGGAATTTCCATTGGCTACTTGATTAGTTGATGTGGAGGCGGTCCCGCTGTGGCTCTGCACTTTAAATGTAGTAAGAGCTGGCTGAACAGCCCCAGCTCATGCCGCCCCCCAGGACCACTGTTGCTCTGCCTCCCCCACCCCACACCACACCACCCCACACCACAGAGATGGTGCTGGGGAGAAGTGACTTTTAAGCTCTGGGTTCTACCCAGCAGTGGCTCCTGCTTCCTCTCCTTGCTACCTCTGATACAGAGACAGCAGGACGAGTGGGAAGCGATTAGTCAAGTAGTCACTCAACTATCCGATAAGCCTATTCTTATCTGGTAGTCGACTACTTAACTAGTCACTTACATCCCTATACTGAATTTATTGATCAGCATTTAGGTCAGACCACTTTGGAAACTTGATTTTTATAAACAAAATTAGGCTTCATGTGGTACTTGGTTCCTAGCAGATCTTTCCTCTCACCATAACTAACCAATGTAGACCTACACTTTAATAAACTGAATTGAGGCTTTACATTTACATGTCCTTTCTTAGCTTCTTTATTTCAAGAGATACTGAATAACCAATTTTACAGTAGAAAAAAATACATTTCACAACATCACAAAACTACTTCAAGATGCAGCTTTTAACTTGTCCCTTCAAAATATGACCTATAAAGATTTGGCTGAAAAGTAAAACTTTGTTATGAGATTACAAAGGATAAAAGCCCATTGCCTTGGTTAAAAAACCACTAACACTATTTAATACAATCTAAAACTGAAATTTGTTCTTTTTTATTTTCAGGAATACAACATCTAAACCCCTACTTTTACCTACTTGGTATTCTTCAAATCTTTAATTTTAAGCAGATTTTTTTTTTAAAGAATGTCTATGGGTGAGTTACTCTTGAAATATTTTAACAAATTTGAGTCATTTTTTAGTTAAATAAGTGAAAAAATAAAACACAAATCCATGCATTTATAAAAGTCAAAACACTTTTGGGCTCACATAACTCCAAGAAATGGTTAGTTTGTAAACTTCAAACTCTCTATAGAGTTGGTTCTTGAGGAAAATGAGTAATTTGAAGAAATGTTTCCAGTTTTTACCTAATGCTTCCCCGATGGACAACTTAGCTTCTTCTTATGATAAAAGGAAGATAGAAGACTTCCCTAAATGGTTATTCATCTACACTGCACTGTTACTTGAAATAAGATATGCAATTTGAGCTATGTAAATTGCATGTCTTATTTCAATGCTATTTTGAAATAGCTTATTTTGTCATTTGGTGCTGTCTACAAAGCGCCAAATTTTGAAATAAAGTGCTATTCCAAAACTTCCCTTATTCTTTGTGGAATGAGGTGTACAAGGACATTGGAATAGAGAGCTTGAAATAACAGGCTTGCTGTGAAGATGCAGGATAGCAATTTCGGGATATTGCCATATCCCGAAATAGCGTTGCAATGTAGAAGTAGCCTTATTGTTTTTTTCCCTTTCCCCCTTTCTTGCATGTCCTGCCTCACAGCATTTTTCCTATGTCATTCTGCCTTGTCCTGGCTGCATGGGAGCACTTCTCATACAATCCATAACACTTTTGATCCTTCTAGCTATATCAGCAAAGACTGTGGAAAGGAACATCATACCACTCTAAGAAAATTGAATGATCCCAGTAGTTCAGGAGCTGAGAAACATTCTTGCTCTGCAGGACTTTCTGGCAATTTGGCAGGACCATAAGAGCACTCATGCTATGGGTGCTATACTGGTATATCTTCTCCTAGCTGTACCAACAACACTCCATGATGTCAACACAGCTGAAGACAGAAAAGGTTTTTCCATCACTATAGTAACAACACTGAACAATGGTAGCTACAACAACAAAAGAATTCTTCTGCCCACATAATTGTGTCTACACTGGGGAATATGTGGCATAGCTATATCAATCAGGGGCTTGGTTTTTTCACACAGCCCCAACCAACAAAGTGATTTCAACATTAGTTTTAGGAGCAGACCGACTTTATGCTGTGGCAAGTGAAATGGCTGAAAAAAGGGGATGAGACTATAGTACAGCTGAGATACATGTGATCTTAGGTGCATTTTCACTAGAAAAGAAGCTAACTTCATGTAAGCTAACAAAGGGTAATTGACCTCAGGCAAACATCTTAGCCATTTGTAGTTTACACACAAGTTAGGAGGTCAAGCTGATGACTATGGGAGTATCTACATTACAAGGTAAGCCCAGAATTACTGGGACTTGTGTCACCTGATCTGTGTTAGGGAACCCTGGGTTTGAGCTTCTACATTGTATTTAAACCTTATGTTAAGACTCTTCTAATCTGTGCTTGAACCTAGGGCTCAGAACAGAATAGGTGCATGCTGACCTAAATTGCCACTATTTGGTGTGGGCAAGCCACAAAAAAGAGGGAACTTGCATTTTCAACAGAGTGGTTTGCAGATTGTTGGGATATAGAAGATTAAGGAAATTGTCCCCTGGAATTGTGGGATACATGCTGATGACTACTGAGATGTGTGTCAGCTGGGGCTGTGGCTACACTGCAAAGCAATAGGGATGGGTCCGAGTCAGCTGGGGCTGTGGCTGTGGCTACACTGCAAAGCAATAGGGATGGGTCCGAGCACAACTGGGTTAGCACAACTGTAATGTAAACATAAAGCAGGGTTAGCTTTGAGCCTGGGCTTACGTGGCCATGTAGACATACCCTGTCAGATACAGCCTATGGTTTACCTTGACCTCAAACTTGTGTGAGAGCTACAAACTGCCTTCTCTTCCCTAAGGTTTTACCTTATGTTAGTTAACTTAAGAACACACCTTGTTTCCTAGCAGAGACAGCTCCCTTGGTCATTTGACTTGCTACATAAGGCTGTATACACATGTGGAAGCCAAGGGAAAGGTGTGGGCAAAGCAATAGTTAATTCACTTCTGTTCCCTTGGGATTCTGGGTTGGCTGTAAACCAAAAGATCCTGCATAATTTAGGCATCCCAATAGGCTGCTCTGATTTGGAGCTGTCCAGTCTGACTCTAGATTTCTGCACTACATAGAGACCCTGCCCCTCACAAACCCCAACTCTAGAACACCCCTTGTACTGAGGCTTGCCAAAGGCAAGAGCAGAGGGAACAGTTGTGCCCAGGAGTGACTCCCTAGATGCTAAAGGAGTTTTGTCCATGTAAAACAGGAGATCAGAATCACATGCTCAGTTGTCTCTATCCTGGGCCAGTACGATACACCATCCCGTCAAGTTATTTTTAGTCAATACAGCGTACTGAAAAGACTCTCTGCCAGCCATCCCTAGCTCTTCCACTGGCTGCTGCATTTCTGCACACAGCAGGGACACGTAATTATTTTTTATGGGGCACCACTACAAGAATTTACTCTTTCATGATATTAATGGAGGAGGTCTGGGATCTGTCATGTAGACTGAGGACAAAAGTGAGTTTGGAGTAAAGGATTGGGGAGCGGGAGGAGGTGTGGGATCTGGGAGGGAGTTCGGGTGCAGGAGAGGATTCTGACCTGGAGGTGGGGTGCAGAAGGAAGTACAGAATCTGGAAGGGGGCTGTGATCTAGGACAGGAGTGCAAGAGGGGGTGCATGGATACATTTTATCAATCCATGATATGCCCACATCTTGAATACTGTGTACAGATGTGGTCGCCTCATCTCAAAAGAGATGTATTGGCATTGGAAAAAGTTGAGAAAAGGTAACAAACAGTAGTAGGAACTGGTGCCATAAGAGGAGAGATTAAAAATACTGGGACTTTTCATCTTAGAAAGAGGAGACTAAGGGGGATATGATACAGCTGTATAAAATCATGACTGGTCTGGAGAAAGTAAATAAGGAAAAGTTATTTACTTGTTCTATAACATAAGAGTGAGTGGGGCCACCAAATGAAATTAATAGGTAGCAGGTTTTAAAAAAACAAAAGGAAGTTTTTCTTCATGCAGCACACAGTCAACCTGTGGAACTCCTTGCCAGAGGATGTTGTGAGGACGAGAATTTTAAAGGGTTCAAAAAAGGGTTTAAAAAGAACTAGATAAATTCATGGCGGTAAGGTGCATCAATGGCTATTAGCCAGGATGAGTAGGAATGGTGTCCCTAGCCTCTGTTTGTCAGAGGCTAGAAATAGATGACAGAGGGATCACCTATTCTGTTCACTCCCTCTGGGGCATCTGGCATTGGCCACTATTGAAAGATAGGATACTGGGCTAGATGGACCTTTCGTCTGACTCAGTGTGGCTGTTCTTACGTTCTTATGGATCTGGTTTATGACCAGGGTTAGGGAATTGGGTGCAGGGTCTGGGAGGGAGTTGTGACCTGGAGCAGCAGTACAGGAGGGGGAGCAGGGAATTGGGATGCAGGGTCTGGTGGGGGTAAGGTATACTTCCCATGTCAAAAAAGGTACCTCTGCACAGAAAGGAAGTGGGGACACATAATCCCATCTGCCATACCTTCAAAGTAAATCATTTTGTAGAGAATTCATGAGATAAAATTACTATGTGCATTTATTTAGGTGACTGGGGGCCCCTACTGGTTTATGCGTGTACATAATAAACTATAATTGCAACTATTGTGTGTCCGGTACAATATTGCTCGGCGGCTTCAGGATATAATTACAACTAATCTTTTTCCTGAAAAATACCTGTAAAGAAGGTAACTTTACACTGAAGTACAGACAAAAAATAAGTATATATATTTAACTTGATGAGTTGAGATAGTGTCCTGCATGTCTTCCTTTGGCAAATCTGTGAAAACAGTGGAAGTTTTGCCCAAGAAAAAAACTGTAGGATCCCTATCTTGATTAAGAATTTTGGTTGAGCAGGGCTGCTGCGCATATTCATAATTAAATATTGACAGTCAACAAACTCTGCTTGTCTGAACTGATAGAATTCCCGTCTTTACAACTTCCTGCATTCCTTAATGCTATGTCTGCTCTCTAGTTCTGTTGGTAGAACGTATGTCGCTCAGGGGTCTGAAAAAATCCACATCCTTGAGTGACATAAATTACACCAACGTGAGAGCCTATGGGGAGCCACTACTGCTCATTAGAGGTAGTTTAAGAAAGTCAAAACAAAAGACAGAACTATGTAGCACTTTAAAAACTACCAAGATGGTTTATTAGGTGATGAACTTTCGTGGACCAGACCTGCTTACTCAGATCAATTTGTGGAAGAAAATTGGCACGACCATATATACCAAAGTGATACAATCAAAAAAAGTGAACACATAAAATTGACAAATCAAATTTTAGAACAAAGTGAGAGTGAGGTTAGTGTCTGTGAGGTAATGACATTAGGGGTGAGAATTGGGAAAGCTATCTTTGTAATGGGTGAGATAATTAGCATCTTTGTTGAGACCCATACATAAAGTCCAATGTACATAGCAGACAGACACTTTAGGCACATGATGGCATAAATTATATTTCTGGATGAACAGAAATAAGTGTTCTTGATCTTGTAATAGGCATGGTTAGGTCCAATAATGGTGTCAGTGGGAGAACTGTCTCCCATCAGCATCGAGTGGCTACACAAGAAATCTTAGAGGGACTCAGATGCATCAGCAGAGTTGTGCTCCTCCTAACTGTTTAGTGTAGACATCGCCTAACGCTGTTGAGCAGATTAGACCAATACTCAGTGTGTTTGGAAATCTCATTTTGAGGCTACGGCTACACTGCCATTTTTGGGGGGAAGAAGATATGCAAATCATGCTCGTATTTGCATATCTTCTTCCAATTCTTTTTGCGGAAGAGGTTTTGCTGCTATTTGGCCCCGTATAAACGGGGCCAAATGTCGGGAAAAAAACCCTCTTTTGCAAGACCCCTTATTCCTTGTAAATTGAGGTTTACAGGGTCTTGCGAAAGAGGAGTTTTTTTCCGACATTTGGCCCCGTCTACACAGGGCCAAATAGCAGCAAAACCTCTTTCTCAAAAAGAAGTGGAAGAAGATATGCAAATACGAGCACTATTTGCATATCTTCTTCCAAAACCCCCTCCCCCGCAAAAAGTCAGTGTAGCTATAACCTAAGACAGAACTCAGATTTGTTGGTTTTGTATTCCTTTTAGACCTGTGAACTTAACACTAATACACTGAGTTAATTAATTGCCTATTAACACAAGGTAGTTAATACCTTTTTAAAGGGTAATCTAGACCTCCCCCAAATGTTTGTGGTTTACAGAGGGATAAGCCTAAATTGAATGTTTTGCCCACCATATATAATGTCACTCAGTTTAATGAAATTAACAATTTGTATTTGAAGAAATTATATTGACAGCATTGCTTCAGTCATCATGGTAACAAGCACAGCAGTTTACACAAAGAGACAACACACAGTAAATGAAATCTGCACTACATAATGTTTTGCAATGGACATAGCTATTATTATGATTGTTTGTATTACACTAGCACACTGAGGCCCTGACCAGTGTGGATTCATAGATTCCAAGGCCAGAAGGGATCACTGTGATCATCTAGCCTGGACTTCAGTATAACACAGGTCATAGAACTTCCTCAAAATAATGTCTAGAGTATATCTTTATGTGTTATTTCCATCTGAATTTGTTTAGCTTCAGAGTTCTGTCACTGGCTCTCACTATCTCTTTCTCTACTAGACTGATAGCACCATTATTAAATGTTTGTTGCTTATGATGATATTTATAGACTGCAATCAAGACACCCTGAAATGTCTTTTTGTTAATCTAGTATCAGACATTCCTTTCCCAACTTCAACAGGAAAGAGAAACAAAGGGAGAAATTAATATGAAATTTGCTGTATTATAATTTTCCCCCCAGTATGTTTGCAATAGTCAGGTAACACTATCAGAGGCTGGTGTGGATAATCTAACAATGAACACAGTAGTTCTATAAATGTACCTAAGTGTTTAAAGTGAAACGTGTACATATTTGCAGGCTCGGGACCTAAATCCTCAAGACAAGACTGCAGTCCAGTTGATTAAATATCTTCTTTATAGTTCAGAGGTATTGCATTCAAACCTTTTTTGATTTCTTAATTTGTATATCAGTGGTCAGGGATCATGAGCTGCACCTATTAGATTATATATGCAACTTGACCTAAATCCATATATCAATATTGGCTAGCACACCGGTGCCCAATTTAACAAATACCACCAACTTCACACCCCACCACACAAACACTAAACCAGGAAACAAACCCTGTTGCAAACTCTGTCCACACATCTAGCCTAATGACACCATTTCAGGACCTAACCACGTCAGCTATACCATCAAAGGCTCATTCACCTGCACATCTGTTAATGTGGTATTTGTCATCATGTGCCAGCAATGCCACTGTGCCATGTGCATGGGACAAACTGGACTGTCCCTATGCAAAAGGCCCAATGGACAGAAATCAGACATCAAGAATGTAACATACAAAAAACCAGTGGGGGAGCACTTTAATCTCCCTGGACACACAGTTACTGACTTGCAAGTTGCCATTCTGAGGCCAAAAAACCCCTTTAAAAACAGACTGCAACTTACAGTTGAGCTGGAATTCATATGCAAACTTGACACTGTCAGAATAGGTCTGAATAAAAACATGGAATGGCTCTCATTACAATAAATTCCCATTCGGGTACTCTCATCTCATCACTGTTGAAGCTGAGGCACATCTACTCTGATTTAACTAGCAGTGATGTGACACTCCCATCTCCGTAACCCCGCCTTTCTTTCCTTTCCAGCATCTGAGGAAGTGAGTTGTATCTCAAAAAAGCTTATGCCCTAATAAATATGTTAGGGTATGTCTACACTACAAAGTTAATTCGAACTAACAGCCGTTAGTTCGAATTAACTTTCATAGGCGCTACACAGGCAAACCGCTAGTTCGAACGTAATGCGAACTAGCAGAGCGCTTAATTCGAACTAGGTAAACCTCATTCCATGAGGACTAACGCCTAGTTCGAATTAAGTATATCGAATTAAGGGCTGTGTAGCCACTTAATTCGAACTAGTGGGAGGCTAGCCCTCCCCAGCTGGCCCTGGTGGCCACTCTGGGTACCACCAGGGAAACTCGTCTGCTCCCCTCCTGGCCCCAGAGCCCTTAAAGGGGCACAGTCAGGCTACGGTGCCAGTGCCAGGTGCAAGCCTGCCAGCACCCAGCCAGCAGACCCCGCAA